TCCCTGATGCGCGACTTAGCGTGATTTAGCCCCTGCTTAAGCACCCACCCCAGCTTTGCTTACGGCGAAGGGCGAAGGACGCAATGAATATGTGTTTGGACGCGGCCGGGATTCCGCTTGTGCTTGCGCAGCAGCTTCCCTGATGCGCGACTTAACATAGTTTAGCCCCTGCTTAAGCACGGATGCGCGACTTAGCATGATTTAGCCCTTGCTTAGGCACCCACCCTTGCTTTGCCTACGGTGAAGGACGCACGGAGCACGAACGCAACAGTCCATGAATATGTCTTTGGACGCGGCTGGCGTAAAAAAGATATAACGACGTCGAAACTATTCGACATTATTATTCCAAGCGTCTTTTGCCAATAATCTAAACACGAAAGCTCTCACGAAGGTTTCGTAAGGCGTAGCTAACGACGGAAAAATAACCGCGGTGCTCTTCCATCGCTGTTGGGGTCTGTTGTTGAGATAATTATCCAACTGTTACTGAGTCGGGGCAGTATCCAAACTGTAGTTGTGTGAGGGTCATGAGAGGATGATCCGACGCTGCAGTGCTTGAGTTTGGGTTTAGGGTTTAGGGTTTAGGTTTTAGGGATTAGGGTTTAGGGATTAGGGTTTAGGGATTAAGGTTTAAGGTTTAGGAATTAGGGTTTAGGGTTTTTTTGTCAAACTGAGAGCAGCAGAGTTTGAAATGGAGACAGTCAAGGCGCCGGACGTTTTCGTCTTGAGACAGTCAGTGCACATGAGTAGTATTTGTTTTGGGGATACTAGGGTACCCAATATAGAGTAAGATTCTATCCTCCTTTTGGGGTATAGTACTTTTATATAAGGAATAGAATCTTACTGGGTTTAACCACCAAAAAAACGCTCCTCACATCATGATCAGAGCAGTATCCTCTCAGTACCTGAGTGGGCCGCCTGAAATCTTCCCAGGGTATATTGCCCCAAACCCTTCAAACCCTATGAACCCTATAAACCCTACAAACCCTACAAACCCTATAAACCCTAAACCCTATAATTTGCGTACCATATCTAAAAGTTTAGCTTTTTGGTCTAGTAGACCGGCAATATATTTAGGGTTTTTATGATATATGTATATATATATATACATATTTTTTTGGGGGGGGAAGGAGGGGTGAGCGAGTGTTTAGGGTTTAGGAATATCTGTTCTTCGTGGGGTGGGGGCTTCTAATTGGGGGAGGGGAGCCCTAAACTTTAAACTCAGCATGTCAAAAGGGACCCCAGGGCCCGGTCATAGTAGGGTTTAGGTAAGTTCCAGACGACAGTCGGCTAAGACGATATAAGCATATATGAGCTGGAAGATTCATAGTCTTTAGGTTTAGGGTCTCGTATGTAAACTTCGTTTACGATACCTCAGAAGCACTGTGCAGTTTTTACTGGCGTCTGCATAAGATCTACCAGTCCCGGCGATACTTCCATCAACTGAACCAGCTCCTCCGTTGCGTCTCACCATACAGGAGTTTTTTGGAACATTTTTCATGTTTACGACCTTCAATTCCCATGTAATCCCTATGAAGCCATGAAATGTGTGCAGGGCCCCCCCACATATCCCTACATAGGGTTTAGGATTTGCTTTTTATTGCGTGTGTCCGATGATAGCTCGTACGTCCTAATGCACATGACACGCTACTTGTGTCATATGGCTTGAACATCGCCTGAGGCCAGAATATACATGGATTGTGGTTTTACAGAGCCCGTAATATTGCCCTGTATAACCCCACTGTCCATTTCATTTTCCATGTTATTTTCCATTTGACCCTCCATTATTGCCCTATCATGCTCCGCTACTGGGTGGGGGCAGTACTCAGCCCATGGGATTGGTGCAGATCATTGCCTGGAAGAGGGGTTTGGAAATAGGAGCTGCCACAATTATTTCGATGTTATAAAAGTTAAAGGATATCATTTGTAAATTCAGGCTTTACCCTCAACCCCAAACCCTACACAAGTTTCAACCCCAAATCCCACAAGCCCAGTTTCCATATTGTCCATTCTCCATCTGATTCTCCATTATGGCAGTTATATCCCTACACGCCACATAGTCCCTACCCTAACCCTAAACCCTAAACCGCAACCCAATACAATTCCTATGCAACCCCGTTATTTAGGAGGTGTAGCAAGCTCAGGCTAGAATCTGATACAAAGCTATCAGAGTCTGCGCGGACCTCGGGTGCTTCTGTTCAGTTGCGGGTGGGTTTAGGCCTTTAGGGGTTTTGGGGTTTTGGGTTTAGGGTGTAGGGTTTAGTTTTCAGGCTTTATAAGGGTTAAGGGTTTAGGAGTTCAGTGGAAGCAGGTGTGAGATAAGTGGCATGTGAAGGTACTAGCTGTACTAGCTGTTACTAGCTCTACTAGTCTACAGGGAAACGCCTCATTTAATGGCTTCTGCCATTGCCACTCCCTCGTGGTGTGTTGCAATTAGAGGGTTGTGGCAGCACAACTACTACAATCCTGCCTTATGGGCATCCCGAAGAAGGATTTTGAGACACTCCCAATGGGCAGGAGGGCAAGGGGACGGTACTGTAATCCTACATGCTTCATCTTCTGTTCCATTTGATGCTCCGCTGATCCTACACCCCGAACCCTAAAACCTCTATGACGCCTATAACCCCTTCAAGGGCCCCTACAGCAAGAGAGAGTTGGTGGAGGGGGCTGAAACAACAAGTAGATTGTGGTACCCCAACCCCTACAATCATGACCCAACAAGAATCATGTGATAGTCATAGGGTCCTTGTTTTGGGAAGTTGCGCATACCCAAATGTCCTTCTTACCTAATCGCTAATAGAAGCACCTATACGACCACTATATAACCACAGTTTCGATTCCGTTCTCATATTCTTTCCAGTCGGTTTCTGCATTATTAGGGTTGGGAGTGCCAAAATCCAGTTATCATGAAAGAACGAATCCCCAAATCATACATCTTAAGCCCTAACCCGCTTAGCCCTAAACCCTTATCCGCAGTAGGGTTGAGGGTTTAGGGCTTCAAGCTTTAGATTGATCTTGATGCATCCGACCTCCCCAGGCTTCGGCGGAGGACGCCCAAGGGGCGGAGAAGCGCCCGGATGCTGAAGAGGCGGCTGGGAAAATGTGGGTTGCAAAGCCATCCATCCCTCATTGCGACCCAGCTGTCTCAATAGGTTCATCTTCACTATTGTAGGTCTGAAAATAAGGCCAGGGGTCATATAGTTCAAAACCCCAAACCCTAAACTTTTCAGGAGATGTGGGTCTTTTCAGACCGAGGGCTTTCAGTTCTATGTGGTTTAGGTTTCTTGAGTTCGACTAGCCCGGTCCAAAAGCATCCCCGCAAGGAGCACGGGTTTAGGGTTTAGGGTGCAAACGCAGCATGACAGCTTCCGCATGATCACTTGATCCAGGGGTTTAGGGCCCGGGGCTTGTCTGTTTTGAGGCGTTTTGCCTGGCTTGACTGGCTCTTTGAGGAGGCCCCTGTGCAAAGGGGCCATGGTCTAAACTCCTTAAAGGGGGTTATATAAGGGATTCTATAGGGCAGTATTATACGGGTTACTAAGGTGTCTACCAGGAGTTTAGGCTATAGGAGTAGTCATCAAAAAGGGTCTAGCTGTCTAGTTTGGCGACAAGTCTCGTACCTTCAAATACCAGGTGTGGTGCTAAAACGGGCACTCTGCCCGCAGACTGTCCAGAGCTTGAGAGTGCAGTAGGAGCCTGAATACTTACCAGCAGTGCTCATTTTACACTTTATATACACTTTATATACTTATAATATATATATATACGCATTATACCAAGAACCCTTCCGTGATTCGTTAGGCTTATACATGAAGCCATTAAACTTCCCTACTTATGCCGCCATCTCTCAAGTCCTCAGAAAGCAGAAGACCCCGTCCCCAACCCCCAACGGCAAAACTCTGGATCCAGAAAAAAGGTTTAGGTCAGGCGGACCCCTCCAACCCTGTAAAAGTGGCTATAGGGGGTACTAAGGATTGTATCAGGGTCCGAATATTCCTAGTATACCACTATTACAGGGTGGGGGGTCCACCTCAGGTTTGGGGTTGTCCCGTAGCTGTAAGCGCGCGGCGATGAGAATGTGACATGCAAGGCGTCGATGCCGCATTGGGCAACTCGCTGTGCTTGGTCTCTCTGACCTGTTGCTTTCTTCTTTCCCCGACTCAACCTGTTATAGATTGGGGTCTATGTTGGGATCCCTCAATTTCTGGAAGCTACCAAATGAGGTTGATCGCTTACTCATGTATGACAGCTCTCAGGGGGACACGCGACGGTTGAAATGATGGCATGCGGATGAGTAGCGGCCCCCTGCCAAGGGCATGTCTTGTGCATGCTGTGCAGCCGTGAGCATCCAGCCAGTTGATGCGGTCTCAATGCAGGACGTTGTAACAGCCTTGAATATTCGAAGCGAAGCTGGTGTCGCGAGGTAGGAATCTTGGACTAGTCACAGGGTAGGATCTACGTCATCACAGTACATTCAAGACTCCTGGGCTTGAAAATCTGGGTTGCTGTTAAGGAACTTAAATTAAGTTACTATATTGCGGACACCCTATTATTTACTACATATATACCCATTATGGTAACTTAATTTAAGTTCCTTAACAGCAACCCAGAAATTTGAAATCCCTATATTCCCCCAGTTTCCATTTCATTTTCTTATAAGGGGATAATATCCCTAAACCCTAAACCCTAAACCCTAAACTCCGAAGCGATGGAGTCACAGTTAGACGAAGACTTGGCATGGGAGCCTGGGTGGACGTGCCAGGCGTGTACCTTGGCCAATGACTCGGAGGCTCCGAGATGCGTGGCTTGCGGCAGCCTGCGGGGTTCTCTGCGGAACCTGGGTTGCTGTTAAACCTACAAGGTTCCTGAACATATTTTTTACTTTCTGTTACCAATAATCCTAATATTTAGCTGAAATTATAATTTCTACTGGGGTTCCAAATCCCTTAGAGAAACAGGAACTTAAATTAAGTTACCATAATGGGTATGTATAGTAAATAATAGGGTTTCCCCAATATAGTAACTTAATTTAAGTTCCTTAACAGCAACCCAGGAACTCGGGCGTGGTGGTTGTCCTCCCTCCGGAGAGGAAGCAGAAGCGGCAGGAGAGTGACCAGTGGGCCTGTCCAGCTTGCACCCTGCTGAATGACGAAGCCGTGGATCGATGTGGGGCCTGTGGCAGCCAGCGATGGGTGAGCAAAAGGCCAAAGGCAGCTGCGGCTCATCGGGCCGCTCGCCGAGATGTTTCAAGCACAAAGGGTCTCACATCTGAAGAGCATGGCATTTGGGGTGGTCTTGGACCTGACCGAGAATTCCTACCCCTGCCGCCAGCGCCGGAAGGACGCGTGGTCTACCGCTCTGCCAAGGACACGGAGGTAGACATCTTCGCGGAGCTTTGCGAAGGCTCCGTGACAGCCACCTCCGAAGCACCCAAAAGTGGTGAAGACGAGGAACCTGTGTCCAAGCCCACGCAGCCAACGCCCACAGAGCCTCTGCCAGAGCCAGAAGATTCCGAACTTCCAGCTGTTACAGTCCCCAGACCTACCTGGAGGGTAAAGGGAGCCCCTCTCTTCTCGGGGGATCCTCCTTTAGGGTTTGAAGATCTTGGCCTCAGCGAGGCCGCAGTTTTCGAAGATGCGGTAGGTCGCCTGGCGCTTTCGGGCTTCGAGATTACGAAGTGCCACCTGGCGCTGGAGGCAGCTGGAGGTGACGAGAACTTAGCTCGGCAGTTCCTGTTGCACCCAGAATGATCTCCATCCTTCCCTGTGCGGACAAAAGGATGTCAACCTGCATACTTTTGCTGCCCCCAGAAGTGAAGTCTTATGCAACCCCCTAAAACCCTAAACCCTGGACCACCTGTTTTGCCAGGCGCGATGAGCTTGATCTTCGTGCGGGGCAGTGCCGTCCCCAGAAGATGCCGGGATCATCACCAGAGATCCCAGTGCACCTCATTAGGGTTTAGGGTTTACGGTTTAGGGAGATAGATAGATAGATAGATGGATAGATAGATAGATAGATAGATACATACATACATACATATATATATACAGAGCATACACAGGCCATACACTTTAATTGAGCAATGCAGCCTAAGCTAAAAAAATCTAAGGTAAAATCCTTGAAGGATATCCCAGTTCAAATCCCCAGTAAGATTTGGGTATGTTGTTCAGTTTAGGGGTATTGGGCCCGCTGGGTATATTTGCAGCTTGCGTGCTTGGAGTAGAGTCCCTCCAAGCGTGCAATGTGCGCCATCGCCAAGCTTTTCCTTTCAACACTTCTTGGTATTCCGTCAGCTGGGAGTACTGAGCATCATTGGTTCCCCCACTCTCTGCCTCTATACTACTCCCCTAGCTTCCCCTTAGTTGGGACTTTTTTTTAATGGCAATGACGATTGAGACTGACAATCTTGCATGACCTTAGTGCATTATAACACCGTAGTTCCCACGGTACATGGTGCTTAGGGACAATTTCAGTGTCTACTGTACCCTAAACCCTAAACCCTAAACCCTAAGCCATGTACTTATAAACCTTCCCATTCCTTCATTCTCTAGTACCAAGCCGCAAGTCAAACCGATAGTTTAGGGTTGGGAGTTCAGGTTTCAGGGTTTTACAGATATATGGGTGGTTGTCAAAAT